GAGAGGGCGCGGTGGGCGGCGCTGCGACCGGCGCTTGTGCGGCTCGGTGGGGCGGCTGAACGGGGAGGCCCGCCCCCGTCGGGGCTCGAGGCGCTGCGCCGCAGCTTGGGAGGCGTGAGCGACGCGCATCGGCGCCTCCTCCTCGCCGCGGCGGCCGCCGATGCGCTGCTATGCACGGCGAACGCACGGCTGCTGCGGCGGCCGCTTCGGAGCACACACACGTGAGTTGCGGGGCGCGAGGCGCAGATGGTCCGAGATTGTGTATTAGGCGCGTTCCCGACCACGTTCACCTCCAGACACACGTGCATGAGCCGCGGTGGCTGGTCGGGGACGCTCTCCCGCTTGAGAGCGGCGAAACGGAGAGGCTGGCGCTGGCTGCAGTGCCGGCCTTGTTGGGCGAGTGCCCGAGTGGAGGATAAGACATTTAGCAAACACCCTGGCCCCAGCTGTGAATTCAAAATCCGAGCACAAAGTTCCTGCCATCACAGCGGCGAAACTTAGAACGATTTGAGGTTGCCGCGCTAACCGGCGACGTCCCTAAGCAAGCGCCGACATCGTGACCCGACATGCTTGCCCTCAATGTCGGGTTTCTTGCCGAATGCATCGCCCCCACAGCGGTGAAGGGAAACTACACAGACAAGACAACCTGCACAGCGACGTCGCCGCAAGCGTATCTCTGTGAAGGTACACGGCCGCTTGCAGTTGTACGGCGCTCTCACGCCTTCTGCTAACATCCCCAGAAACTGCACTCTCCTCCCTGTGCCAGGAGCGTGCTGCGTGCTGCGAAGGCCCCCTACCAGCTGCATGCAGCTCACGCGAAGTTTGGATCCCATCGTGCCGCCCAAAGAGGCCGCGTTGGGAGAGACTTGCTCTGCCACCACCAAATGCGGAGCAAGTTGCTACTGTTAGATGAGGCAAGAGAGCACTAGCGTAGCACACCGTTGTGAGCGCGTGTATGTGCTGTTACGAAGCTAACGGGGCCGCCTTCTGCGCTCAGGCCTCACCTGCTGCGACTGGGACTCAGTTGCAGGTGCGCAGGCCAAGGAGGGCACCTGCGGCGAGATGTGCATACAAGGAGGACCAGTGATTATCGAGCCCGAACCAGCCGTGTGCGCCTTGGAGCTCCGCCGCCATCTTCAGGCGTGCATGCCCTCCGCAGAGGGGAACCCAATGGTGTGTCCCAAAGGGGAGACGCTCGTAAAGACTGAGAATGGCAAGTCGGACTGCCCCGACGAGTGCGCGCCGCTTCGCAAGTGCGTCGCCAACGTCGAGTTCGGTCCCCTCGACATCCCGATTCGATGCCCGGTGGAGGTTCGCCGGCGTCTCCAGGATTGCACGATACAACCTGTCTCCATGAGTCCAACAACGTGCCCCAGCGGCGAGACGCTGGTAAAGACTGAAAACGGCAAGTCTGTCTGCCCCGACTATTGCTTCCCTCTGCGGGAGTGCATGGCAAGCGGGACCTCGGTCGGCGATCCGATCACGACGCACAACAACGTCTCGAGGCGCTACTGGCTACCAACCACAGGCGAAACGCTACTGCTGGCCCAAGGAGTCCTCGAAATTTACGCTCGTGCTGGCCCGGCGCCGGGCAACGGGCCTGAGGTTGGAGAATGGATCCATACGATCCGCGTGAGCAAGGCAAACAAGACGGTCGTGAGCGTCAACGTCAATCCCGTGACAGAGCCCTTGGGCCCAGCCCTTAGCTCAGTCTCGTTGCAGTTGCTCAACGTGAGCGTTGCGGGGCGCACTCTTCTTCAGACCGGCACCGGCGCTGGCGTACAAGCCGATGGCGTGAGCGTGTCAGCCGAGCTGGATGCGCACCACAAGGTTGGCGCAGCGGCCGGTGAGTCGGTTCGCATCAGCCAAGCAGGGTTTGCGATGAAAGTCCTTCTGGCAAAAGCCCAAAAGTTCGCCACCGAGGCTGAGCGCATCAAGCACGTGCATCTCGACCTCTACTTTGACGAGGTGGCCGACCGAGGCCTGCGCGGTGCGCTGCCGGAGATTTGGGGCCTCGCGCCCCTCTCGTCCGGAACGAAGGCGCTGCTGAATGACCCAGCCAAGAAGGTGCACGCGCACGGTGTCCCGTGGGCCATGTACTAGGTCCGTGCGGTGCGCAGAGGTGTTTAGTAGCCGATCGGTGGGGGGCGTTCCGCGTTTGCGTGACCTGGCGCGTGACCTCGATCTACGCGGCCGACCGGCACAGGTGCAAGTTTTCCTTTATGGTGTGACATTTCTTCGAGAGAGCGCGCGCGTGGCGCGACATACCGACAGCGCGATACAAGTTAGACCGCGGCGCACATGTCACTCTCGAGGAGGACCCACAGCCACACAAGACGAGAGCTGAAAAACACGACAGTCACTACTCTCTCTCGCTCTGCGGTGTGCAGGCACGAGAGACGTCACGAGTTCTGCGATCTGCCGCCTCTCAGCTTGCAGCTGCGTTGAGTGCCCCTCCGGAGGGCCCTGCTCCACGCTCCGCCTGCCTTGATTTCTCCCCGCGAAGCCCCCAAGAATGCGCGCGCGACCGCCTCTGTGAGCGCCCCTGCAGTGTGCCCCAAAACGATCGAAGTCGCGCGACGAGCATGTCCCCCAAAAGGCTGACGACGACCGTCGAGCCCGCCCGTTCCCGTCCCCACCAAGCGCTGCCCCGCCGCCCGGTCCCCAAACCGATGTCGTCCCGCACAGGCCAGCGCCGTAGGAAGTGACCCCATGCTGCGCTGGTCGCCAGCCGCCAGCCGCCACAGCCGAAAGCGATCCAAGACTACATCGAAGCGCCATCGAGGTATCGCACGGCCGGAGGGGCCGCGAGGTCGCACAGCCAAGATCGTGCGCCCCCGCCCGCTCTCCCGACCTGTGGCATCTCTGCTCACGCCGGCCCCGTACGCGTCGGCGAGGCGGGCTCGATGTCGAAGTGAAGCTTCACCGGGGGCGCGCCCGGGCTCTTAGCCACACCTGGCGCCTTGCCCGCCTTGGCCACCTTCCACGCCGCCTTGATGGAGGGCGGAGCTGGGCCGTCGCTCGTCAGGCAGAGGCCGCGGTGGCCGTCGGCCAACCTGCAGTCGAGCACGCACGTGGAGGTCTCCGAGCGCAGCGGCTTGTCCTCGAGCAGGTGCGGAGACACGAGCTTGAAGGGAGCGGGCGGGCTTCCAGCCTATGCGTCAGCCCCCAGCTCCGTCAGCGCTTGCGCCCCGTGCGCCCCCTGCACAGCCTTGGAACCGACGCGCTCGAGTGTAGCGCACTCTCAGGATTAGGGTGTG